CTAAATTAAGATACTTCAAAGATTGAAGTCCAATGAGCCATTTCAAGTTGTTAGCAAATGGTTCATTAATTGAGTAACTACTAAGATCAAGAAAATGCAATCTTGAAAGATTTCCAATGTGAGGAGGAACAGGTCCACCAAAACCAGCATTCGACAAATTAAGGTATCTCAATTTTCGAAAAGATCCAAAGAACTTTGGAATTTGATTCCCTCCAAAGTTGTTTGAACTCAAATCAAGATACCTTAATGACTTTAAGTCAAGCAAAGAAGGACTAATTACACCACCAAGTTCATAACTTTGATATCCATCACCTACATCATCAACGCGATTAAAAGTGTTACGTAGCTTGATCTTGATTACATTTCTTGTTTTTTTATGACACACAATGCCTTCCCATTTACAACATTCATCTCCAATCCAAGAAGAAAGCCTACTCGAAGGATCGATAAGACCTTTCTTGAGATTAAGTAGAGCTTCCTTCTCTATTTTTATACAACTAACATTAAGATTATTGTGACAAGAAATGAAGCTGATATTTAGTGTGTAAAGAAATGTGAACAGAAAAAACATGAAAAAATGAGTTAGATGAAGTATATTCATACTAAGTGCCATGTTTGTTTTATGATGTTTTTTTAAGGAGCTTTGCACCAAATGGATTTATAATGAAGATAGTTAGGACAAGAAAATAATCAAGATAATGACATTCCAAGTTGGAGTACCAGAGTTTGACTTAGGTGCAAGCAAAATTGAATATGACATGAGAAGTTGTTAGGTCATGCGTGAACAAAATTCTATATTGGTAGTTAAAAAGTAAAGAAAGTTGCATATATATTAATGGTGTGACTTGTGAGACCTTAAATGAAAAATCGTGTAAGCTTGATCCAAAGCAGATAAAAATTACATTTTATTAAGAATATCTTCGAGTTATTTTAGTGTAGCACAACATAATGACATAAGGGTACTTGAGAAAATATAGTACGGGGTTGATTTAAATGGATAAATCACTCTATCTTAGAGTTTTTATGTCAATTTAACACAACAACTTGTATCAAAGCCAATAATTCGACAGGAATTATATGAATTTAGTCCAAAACGAATAATATCATATCATATTAAAACTATCATTGGCCGACCTGGCCTAACAGTGTCCATATTAGAAAGTTGGCAAAGACAAAAAAAAAATTAGGTTATTCTTCCCATTTGTTCTAGTTTTGGTGGACAGAGTTGCATATTGCTGATGGAGAGTGGCTAATATCACATGGAATTAATCAAGATGCATGAAAGTTGGCCCGATCACAACAATAATAACTTTTAAAAAGTTCACTTTATATAAACCTTGACTCACTGGTATCACTTTATATAAAGTATGCATACTTTTTCTTCTACTTTTTTTTCTTCAACCCCATTTGCACGACCAAAACAAAAAAGATAAAAGAAGATACATTGCATTGCAGAAAACCAAAAAAAAAAAAAAAAAAAAAAAAGGTGAAATTTTCAAAAATATACCGCTTTAACATAAATTATTACGCCACATAACATAAGATACAATATTATATATACAACATTATATCAGGAGAAAATATTATACATATATAATATATCAATCTTATATAAAAGGTGTTTATATACAAATATGGACTAAACCGAGTAACAAACTCAAAATATGAGCTACATGACATAAATATTTTCTCCCACTAGACAGCATTTTGCCAATCAAAAATGCCCTATTTCTTGAGTCACTGAAACCGCGTAATCTTTTTCAAAAAGAAAAGGTAGAAACTTTTTAGAATAGATGTCCCACTTTAATTTGTGGTCAAAAGATGGGGAAAAAAAAGAGAGGAAAAGATATAACTTGAAGAAACTAGTGATTTTTTCCCCTTCAGTGTGTGTTTGAAATAACAGAAGGTGTACTGTTGTGAGCTGCCATTGCATTTGCATTTTCTAGATTTCAATCAAAGCATAAACATATTTTTTTTCCATAGCTATTCGTACAAAAGTTTACATCAAATCAATAGATGTATGATATGTGTTCGCACACAAAATTTTGACACTTAACCATAATTTTATTAATTAACATGCATGCATTCTCATCTTATTATTAGATCGCTTAAATTATAGTGATTTATATATGATATTGTGTGTAATCATCTTATGCGAATAAATATTTACCATTTACGAATGAGATTAATAATTACAAAATCCACATGTTGAAATTCGGAATTAATTGAGACACTCCAAAATTGTTTGAGCTCAAATCAAGATATCTCAAAGATTTTAAATCAAGCAAAGGAGAATTGATTTCACCACCAAAATCATAACTTTGATATCCATTCAACTTATATTAATAGTGTGAGATCTTTTATTTGAAGAAAATCATGAAGATTTTGCTTAAAGTGGATAGTATGATACAGAAATAGCTATATCATAAGTTATGAAAAATATCAAATCATAAATTATTTTGATTTCCTACTCCAATTTTGAATTAATCTTACAGCACAACCCCATTATCACATAAGGAGACTTTTCTTTCGGGTTACTTACCAATATGTATATGCAACAAAAAATATTTTTAACAAAATGACAGTTTGTATATGTAATATATCAATATGTATATATAATGTATCGATATTATATAAATAATATATATTAGTGTATAGAGGATGTATAATAATGTATCAGAGATGTATATACAACAAAATACATTGTTGATACAATAAAGCTATCATTGTACATCGATTTTTTTCAATCCCAACCAACTCAAATATTTTTAAAATAGTTTCAAAATTCAGATATGAGATCCTCTCAATGTTTCGAGTCTTTTGATATACTATTCATCCGAAATGATTCAAATTTGTGGTATGTCAATTTTTAAAGTCGAGCTTTGAATAAGCTTTAAAAATGGAAGCCAGAGATGGAAAGAAGCAACGAAACAAGGAAGAAGAAGAAGAAGGAGAAGGAAGAAAGGAAGAAGCTAATAATAATTGGAAGAATAAGACAGCAAAAAGGAAAAACAGTAGCGAAAAAGCACTATTCATAAATTAGAAGTGGTCGAATGAACATTTTATGTAGTTAATGATAATTGAATTATTTTGAGTAAGAAATTTTGACCCAATAGACATTTTGCCTATTTTTTCCTTTTCTTTCTTGGGTTAATTATATAAAAGGGCCATTCGGCTATTTTATTTACCATTCGATCATACCTTGTTCTTCCTTCAACTTTAGCCATTAATAGCTTTTTCTTCCTTCCTCCTCCTTCCTTCTTCTTCTTTCATGATCAATCAGTCATTAAAGTTTCAAAAGTTTGATTTAAAAATTTGATGTAACACAAACGTGAATCATTTCAAGCAAATTATATATAAAAAAAAATCGGAACATCGAGAGGATTTTATATCTAAATTTTAAGATTTTTTAAAGAAGATTTTGAGTATATACATAGGAGAGTGGCGAGCTAGATGGAGAGGGAGGCGAGGGAAGTAGTCATGTATCTCAGATACATGTGAATCACACTAGATACATGTATTTGTATGTATCTGGTGTGATTCACATATATACATAGGAGAGTGGTGAGTGAGATTTATTATGTATCACAGATTACACCTAATTTTGACTCATGTACCCAAAGATACATGTATATGAATGTATCTAGACACACCAAAATCTTGTAAAGTTTATATTATTGTGAAGCAAAGTGTATCTAAGTAATTAGTTCCCTTCTTTCCAAAACCGAAAAGGAGACTACTTTCTGAACTAGGCCCTTACATCCTAATCCAAAGAGAAACTTTCACATATAGCATACAAAAAAATCATATTTGTATGTTATAGCAAAGTTTGCATAATTGCGCTCCATAGCAAACATATATATGTATAATTCGCTATACATATACAATTGAAAGCTATGTTTATTTCGCTATACATATATACAAAAAGAAACAATTGTATAATTCGTTGGCTCCTCTTCAGATTTGTATAATTTCGCTGGCAGGCCATTTGTATAAATTGTTGTTAGCCTCTCGTTTGTTGACAAAAATATTTGTATATCAAAAATCGCTCTCTCTTTCGCTTTATATAAACATAAATTATACATTATACAAACATAAAACTGGGCAGGGGTATATTTTTATTGTATAATTATAAGTGTATAGGATGAATATATATGTATTTGCATGTGTATATACAATTTTCTCGCGTTTTATACAAACAGAAACACAATTTATACAATTCTGTTGTATAAAACGAGAAAGGGAGAAAGGCAAAAGAGAACTGGGCAGGGGAATATTTTTATTGTATAAAGCTTTAATTTGTGTATATAATCTTTTATATAAGTGTATATTGGGAATATGTATATAAATGAAAAATAGAATTTGTTGTAGTTTATGTAGTGTTATTGTGAGTTGTATAAGTATATGAAATTGTTGACTATTTTTTCGAATTTGTATATTTATACAGAGCAGGTTCATCCTTAGTTTAGATGTATGATTATGTATATAATACGTATATGTATATGTCTATTATTTTATGTTTGTCAATTGTATATTTGTATAAAGCTTTAATTTGTATATAAGTATATATTAGGAATATGTATACCAATGTTGATTCACAACGACATGGGTGTTAGAGTGTATATCTAATCCGATTTCGATTAAAAAGATCGCGACTTTTTCCTTCAGAAATGAACCGGGAAGCTATATCTCCAGAAATCTCCGCGAGAATCATAGCGGCAGCTCCGCAATACCAAAGGGCTTGAAATTGGAGAAGAAACAATTTAGCTAGTAGAGGCTTGTACTGAGATCGGGTGAAGGAGAAAAACCTATTAATAGCAAATTGATCGAGAGATTTGCTCCTCAATGAAAATAAATGAAACTGTAGCTATTTTATTTATTTTAAATTAATAGTTGTCATTATGTACAATTTTTCCTAAATCCAAATTCTAAGGCCCAATGTTAACCTGCCGACAACTGCGCGTACAAGCACGCGCTGAAACGCTTCCAATACTACTTTTGGGATATAACAAACCTTTGTTTGCCGTCTTCCATCAATCGATCAAATTTTTTTTTTGCGTTTCCGATGTATCTTCCGATGCATTGCAGTTCTTAAACTCAATCGGAATTCAAGTTCCTTTCTCCCTTCCCCTACAAATTCATTTTTTATTTTTCAGATATTCGATCATCAAAGTCCGTCAGGCGAATTCCAGCTCCGATCACATTCCGGTGAGGTTCAATTCTCCTTGTGCTTCTATTTACGGTTTAATTTCTCATGTGGTCCATAATTCCATGTATGTGAATTTCTTATGTTTAATTCCCGTTATTTTTCATTGCCAATGCCTACAGTTTTGTCGAATTCAACGATCCAATGGATTTGATTGTTAATTGTAATTGAATTCATATTTCTCTTTCCGGTTTTTGTTGACCTAATCGATGTTATGCATAATCCATGAATTATAAATTTGTGAAATTTTATTCACTACTTGTATTTTCTTAAAGCTATACCACTGTACAGTTGGATTTTTTTGAAGTGTTATTACATTGTTGATAGTTGTAGAAGTTTGGACTTGCGTGGAATTATGTATTAAGTAACTAGTTATCGGATATGGACACGTGTGTTGCACGTGTATTTCGAGAGATTTAGTAATTTTGCATAATTACCTAAGATTATTGAAACATGCTATGTCACAACATAAGTAAAGCAAAGATTTCATGAATGTGGTAGTTTGTTTAACAATTTGAGAATCCAGCTCGAAATAAGCCAGTATGAATTCTCGAGTAATAAAACAAAAATAATTCAATGTTGTCACTATTGCAACTCTAATGGTTATATACCACAAAAGGAAAAAAAAAATTGGAAGTGAAAATTGTGTTGAAAGTGATAAACATTCTAGACTATTGATCATGATTAGATAGATGCACAAGCATCAAAATTAAATGTAGTCTGACACTAAATTGAAGCATTGCTCATGATAGGAGAGTGATGAAAAGAAGAGGAAATTGATAGTTACATTTGGTTCAAACCTAATTAAGCTATTTCTAGCTCAGCCGCCTCCAACTCTCTCTATGGGTCAGACAACTTCCTTAAGTTAGCAGATATCATACTGCTCCCGCAAACGGTGATGTCTCGATTCCCATTGGTCGATGTGCTTTCCGGAACTAATCCTTGTTCAAGTAAATCTTGAATCAGATTCCTGAAATTTACACAAATTATTTATAGAGTGAGTCCATTTTCTACCAGCCTCTTAATTCAATAGGAAAGTAGCTTTTTGTTATTTTTATTAGAAATTTGTAAATCAATCTTCATTTGAAGTTAAAGAAAATAAAAGATCAAACCTTTCTTTAAGGCAATCCAAAACAAAAATAAAAATTATTTCTTACAACTCGCACTTATTCAGAACCCGATAGTTATACTTCTTCTAAACAAATGACATTCCTTTCTCTTCCCTTTACTTATATTCTTCCTGATCTTTGCAAATGGAAAGACTAATTACCAAAATACACCTAAACTCATTATATGATTATGAATTAGATTGGTTTTATTTAAAACAAAAATCATAAGAAAATAACCCCTGCGTTTTTGGAATTTTTCTATAGGTGTAAGAGGAACAAATTATTTAGAGGATATGACATTTTTTTATAGTTATGGAGCAAGGCTTTTGAACATCCTTATATACTATCGGAAGAGCATACATCACTTCAATTAAAAATTTAGTATTATTTATTGTCTTGACCCTTAACCTTTATATTCATCTGTTGCTTGAAAAATTCAATTATATGCTTTAAATAAGTTATTAATGTGTTAATTAAATTGTTGCCATTTGGGATTTGCTCAGGAAAAACAAATGGGCAGTTTCCTTTTTAATTTAACATGGAGATTGTGGGCTTTAAATATAGTGAATGGATGGAATGAATGAAAGGAGAAAATCAAGAAAATAAAACTTAATCAAATGACTACTGGACTTCATCTAAAAGGTAAGGAAATTTAGAATGTCATAACTTGTAAAGAATTAAATGTTGCGTGGCATCCCAACTTAGGATAAGAAGTCCCACATCGGCAAAACAAAGGAGAGATGTTGGGTATATAAATAAGCATGCCTTACACCCTAGTGACACGTTCTAAAGTCATGCGGCCCTAGGCCCAAAACGGACAATATCACAAGCAGGTTGGGCCGTTACATGTTGGACTTCAGATTCTAACTTTGTGTAATTAAAATATTTATTGTTTTATTAGATATTTAGTCTGATTTTGTTTTAGTGGAGGGAAGAAATGGTAATCCAACTTGAGCTTCCTACTTTGAGTATGATATATGTATGGTATATGATACTCTGATATGCTATACACAAGCATCAATTATAAATGTTCAAAAATGATAAATGTGAAAACAAGAAATTCAACTGTATCTGTTCAAGGAGTAATTTCTCGAAATTCAACAGGAAACATACAGAAGGTTAGCTGATAAGCAGCAGGAAGCTATTGTTTATCTGGTTTAGTATTGAATGTACTAAATGCTTCTAAATTTGGATTTACGTTCTGGATTTTCTTTCTTCTGCTGATTAACTTTTTCATATGAAGGTGTGAGCTGGCCAGAATAGATTGAAACACGTACTGAGACATAAAAGGCGTTTTACAATGAGGTGTAAGGTTCCTTCGCTGGTAGATTTATGTGTTCAGACAGCAGTAGATAATGTGAGATACCTTGGGGATGTTGGTGAAACAGACACTCATCTACTAGAGCGCATTTTGCCTCACTGTTCTCTTGAACAATTAACACATGTGGAGAATTCGACAGAAGTAAGAAACTCTATGATTAGGTTATCCTCTTGCAGTGTTACATATCAAGTCCATTTTTAATGCTCAAATTCTTCTTTCAGGGAAGAGATCTCAGTCAAGTGACTGATAGACTTTGGAAGAGGTTTTACCAGATTGAGTTTGGTGACAAGAGCATCAATCAGGTGGTCGAGAGAATGAAGAAAGTGAAAGTAACATTTAAATGGAAACAGTTATATGAGGTGATTTATCATATCATATTTTGTTTTTACTCCCTTGTTATGATTTATGATATATGTTTAGTAGTGGATCACATCTTCCTCTTATTGTTGTTACCAAATCATTCTACATTACAAAAGGGTATATCAATTTACTTGCAGGCGAAGACAGAGGAAATGGAGGAAACTCAACAAAGGTCATTCGAGAGAATCAAGGAATTGTACCAAAATGAAAATGCCAGTATGTGCTTTACTTCTGTTTCTTTGTTCTTTAATTTGTATTCCGAGTAAGTGGTACCATCCTCTAGTTTTAGTTGAGGCCATAATAAGCTGTCATATATTCAGATGCTGATCTAGACTAATTAGGCTGTTTCCTTTAACAACAATGGGAAATTTTCCAATTACCTCTTAAAGGACTATGTGGGACTTGTAAACTCGTATTACAGAATTCAGTATCAGCTAGGGAGTTCCAAAAATCCTGCTCAGAAATTTTTATTTGGTCTTTTATGGTGATAGGTTGTATAATATGTTTTTTCATGAGCCGAGGGTCTATCGTAACCTCACTACCTTCCAATGAAAAGGTAAGGTCTGTTTACACACTACCCTCTCCACACCCCACTTGTGGATTACACTGGGGTATGTTGTTGTGTCGTCATGATCATATATGACTTTATCTAGTTCTTGAAACTTGTTTAGTTTCTCTTTTTATGGAGATATGTTGTGAGTTACTATTACTATTGAGATTGAATCTTTGTTATCTGTGTGTAGAACGGCAAAGCCGACAAGTTCGAGTCTGCACAAAGGTTCCCCCTTCTAGCAATAAAAGAAGCTTTTATGGTAGGCTGCATGTTTTCTTTAGATACCTTTTCCTATCAAACTAATCATGTTATGTTAATTTAGAATGCGTGGTAATTTTGTTCCTGATTAAAGAGGTAACTTGTAGGTAGTGGACTTGGTAGCAATTTTGGCAACACAAAGAGTCCGTTGATGAAGAAGGCAAAAATAGAGTTTGTCAACAGGTAAGTTTGGCCTCCATTAGAACAATTACATGGCTTCAACATTATTTTATTCATGCAAATGCTCTCTCTTCCCCACTCCATACTGAATGGTCTTTCCCAGTTTTTGTGCTTGTGTTCTTAAACCTGTCGTCCACTGTCACTACCTTCATGGGTTACATCGAATGTGGATTCTTGGTATATGCCGTTTGATTGGAAAATTGTGCTATAAGATATTTTAACAATTCTAGTTCTAACTAAAGAAAACAACTGCTGTTTGTGTATTATTTTTTGTGTTATTTGTGCTATTTCATTTGCCTCTTTGATATAGCCTCTATTTTCATATTGATCACTCTCTCTTCCGCTGTTTCTTTCAGTCGAGAAGTAAAGAATTTAGCTGCTATGAAGAATAAGTCTGTGCAAAGAAATCATAGGTAAAGACATACTTGCAGTTGTTTATACTTGACCATAATCCATTTTATTCTTCTCTAATCTTCCTCTCTTATTCCCCCCCAATTTATTCCCAGCCAAGTTTCTTCTATTAAGAAACCAGGTGGTTTAGTTTCTTCTCAAGAAAGAGGCAGAGGATATGAGCCTGACACCGCAGCAGCTAGGCGTGATTCCTCCACATATCCTGACACCGCAGCTAGGCGTGGTTCCTCCACATATCCTGACACCGCAGCTAGGCGTGGTTCCTCCACATATCCTGACACCGCAACTAGACTTGGTTCCTCCACATATCCTGACGCTGCAGCTAGGCGTGGTTCCTCCACATATCCTGACACCACAACTAGGCTTGGTTCCTCCCCAATGGCTTTGTCAGCAAGATCGAAATTTACAAGCCGGTGGGAGAGAAGTTAGGCTGGCATTTTATGTATCAAAGTTGGCTGTTGAAAGAAAATGCTGAGTAGTGTGTTTTCTGCTACATGAAACCGCTGTTCTGTAATTTTTATAAAACGCCTGAAAGCGCAACTCTGTAATTTTCATAAAACGCTTGGCGTGCTCCGTATATCATACTTAACATCATGCTAAATCCTTGATTCTGCAAATAGTGCTCTTGGATTTGTTGTTAAGGTGGATATTCGGTATTCGGTTTTGTAAACAACCCTTTGGATGTTATACTCTATTTAAGGATCGAGTCTTCTCGGGTCCTCTTAGTTGAAAAAAATATTGGCTATTGATACTGTGATATTGTCTGCGTTAAGCTTTTACGGTGGTTTTTCAAAAGGCCTAATGCCATTGGAGAATCCTTTTCAGCTTCTGATGTGGGAATTAGTTTGCACATCCAACAATCTCTTCCTCGAATTAAGTTTCACAATCCATCACCATTTATGGGCTAATTTGGAGATTAATTATGTGTAACTCGCATCATTCTCCTACTACTTGTGGGCTGTGGCGAACAAAGTCTGTTGTTTTGCCTGCGTCTTCCATCTACAGGTAAAGGTACTGTATCGACCCAATAAACAACGGGCAAAGGTAAAAACAGCCACACCGTTACGCCATAACTCCACCATCTTCCATCTTCATTCGATATCAATTGTTGGAACAAAATAACCCATATTATATTAGTATATGTATATGATATAATATAATTCATTTTTGGACATTATGTATACAATAAACAATAGATTATATGTATCCATTACAAATATTATTTATACAATAACAATACATTATATATAAATGCGGTTATTTTAGTTGAATTCTATTTTCTTATCGCTAGTCCAGTTACATTAGAAGCCCCAACTTAAAAATGGCGTCATACAGTCCATGTTGCGTATACCATATTAATACTACTCTTTTAGACCTTTATAAATTACATTATTTGTTTTACACATTTCCTTTATAAATTACATTATTTGTTTTACACATTTAATATGCGTAGAATTGAATATACGGTACAAAAATTCCAAATTTTCAGATATTCGAAAATTCATTGTACTAACTGATACCCAATCCAATTCATATATTTTATACAATCCATAATTCAAAAACTCAAACCAAATATGATTTGAATTGCCGAAACTAAATCCGAGATTTATTTAACCCTCCACCTTAAGCCGGCCCTCGGACCAACTAATACATTATTACATGCAAAAAGAGCTTGATGTTTTGTTTATCTACAAAATTATCCTGATGTAACGTCTGAAACTGTGAACAAGTCTAGTCACCTGAACCAGCTAACCTCCGCCTGGTGGCGTTGGAGACTGATACCTGACCGAACTTATCCGTCTCAGCTGAAGGTGATCGATCTTGAAGGAGCGTATAGTGACGCAACCATACACCAGTATACACCTGAAAAGAGAGAATTAATATCATCTAAACAGAATAAAAGGCAAAAAGGGACCAAGTTAAGTTACCTGTGCTGGTCTCATTATCTTGGTGTCAGGATCGTCAAGGGACTCGCGCCAATGAGCTAAGTAACCAGCCATGCGAGGGATTGCGAATAAAACCGGAAAGAACTCCGTGGGAAATCCTATTGCCCTGTTACACAACTATGTATTACAGTAGTCTACATCATTCTAGACTAAGTTACGTAAAGATTCATGTAACTATGCATACCTGTAGATTAAACCAGAGTAGAAATCGACATTCGGGTACAACTTCCTTTCTACAAAATACTCATCTGAGAGTGCAGCTTTTTCTAGAGCAACAGCAACCTGAAGATAATATATAAGATATATGAAATAGTGGATTGAACATTTTAAAGCATGACATCCACACAGAGACGAGTAAAGCTCACCTCAATTAAAGGATCGTGGCCAACAATGGAAAATACTTCTTCTGCTAGCTTCTTAATCACTTTTGCTCTAGGATCATAATTTTTGTAGACACGGTGCCCAAAACCGGACATCTTACGCTTCCTAGAGTAAAGGAAAAGCAAAAAGAAGTAAAAATGGTTAAGTATGAATAGAAAATTTTCTTTATAAAGAAAGATGACTACCAGAAAATGATGCACCTGTTTTTCACGCCCTCAATGAACTCTGGAATATTGTCAATACTTGCAATCTCGCTGAGCATCCTGAGCACGGCCTATAAACCATTTTAAAACAGCATGGTATGGTGCTACAACCAGCAAGTGATTTGTGACAGGGAGAGTGTGCTCATTATATTTGAAAGCTCGTGTAAAGGAAATTTCATCGTTTTAGTACATCGAAGTTGTACCTCATTTGCACCTCCATGAAGGGGCCCATACAAAGCACCAACCGCTCCAGCTATAGCTGTGTACACATCAACACCGCTGCACAAACATTGGGGTATCAGTAGGCTAAAACTTCTAAGCTTTTTGATAGTGCTAGAAAAGGCCTACCTTGATGCAAGATGACGCGCAGCTGCTGTTGAGCAATTCATTTCATGCTCCGCATGTAAAATGAAGAGAATGTCCACTACACGAGCAAGTCGAGGGTTGGGTTTGTAAGACCTATTACCTCTGCATGTTCATGGAGCAAATTGTTAACTTGCCATCCAGATCTTACACCAATAAACAAGAATGTCACAGACCACTACAGTCATATTGTCTCACTGGGTAAAGAAGGAACAATAATTGCTTTTATCCAATTTAGGCATAGCTTAAATTTTCTTTCCAGCTGGAGCTTGATATCAGAGAGAATAAAGTTGAGAAATAGAACTTACAATGAATCTAGCATGTATAAGAAGTTCTCTGCATAAGAGAGGTTGTTGGATGGAAGAACAGGTGGCCTTCCAGCCATCCTCAAGTAGGCAGCTGCAGCAATTACAGGTGCCTGCAAAAATTCAGTTAATAGGAGGATGGATTAGTGCAATAATGTAGACAACAGCCAAGGTCATACACATCAAAAGGAACATGAGTTCATGATTTGACTATTCAGCAGTTTAAGCAACCAAGACAAAGTTGAGGAAAAGCAAATAGAAATAACCTTTCCAAGGATGCGAACTATTTGTTTATCCCTCACTTGTTTTGAATTGTATATATCTTGGCCCTGCATCAACATAAACACACATGATCAGAGTCGCAGAGGAAGAGGGGCATGGAACAACACAATTGAAATCACAAGCAGCACACTTTCTAGTGTTTCCTTACCCCACTACTCCGACTACGGGACTAGACTTCCCATCCTTCAAGAGAAAAGTAGTTAGCCAGCAATCATTTGGTCCATCATGCTAAAAGATATACAAGCTCTAAGATAAAAGATACCTAATTTCTAAGATATCTACCAACAATGGCTTGACCTCCTTTATGTAGGAGTAGGAAGCGTAATAGTTAATACAGAGAAGCCTAAGAATAAAAAACATAACGTTACATGGCCCACCATTCTAAAAATCGTAAATCCTTAACCCGACACAATTCTATCAAATAAAACTAATGACACACTTCATTCAAACAGAGCCCCACTAACATGTGAAGGAGCCTAACAAAACAAAAGACACGTAAAACTAAATATGTTGTTGGGATGTGTAAACATGTGCAAGTAGGTGGATGAGCAGCTTGTAGTCAACTTACAAGCAGGTAAGTACGCTCCTTGTAAGCATTTTGCAAGCACGTGCAAAAGCTACTTATTGTTGTTCTACAAGCAAGCTACTTGTAGGCATAAGTGGCTTGTAGGAAGATGGGTAGGCAAATTTAACTAGGAAGATTTTGTGGAAGTGGAGGTAAATGGTACTTTCTTGCACATGTCACTAGGCATTATTCGACTGCACGGCGTTGAAGGTCTTTACGGCAGGCATGAGTATCGTTCCTCCATCCACCAGTCCCCATGTCCTGTGTGGGATTCCATGTCGGGCTAGAGCAAAGAGGAATTCTCCAAAAGAATTTCAACAAAGCAAGACAAGAAACACATGAAGCCTTCTATCAACCTTCTTAGGTCCCACATCAGACATAGAGTCGACTTGACTGGTGGATGAAGAAGGAAGGATACGCAAATCCGTCGTCAAGATCTTCAACATTGTACAGTCGAATAATGCCTGATGACATGAGCAAGAAAGTTTCATTTACCTCCACCTCATTAACGTTGTACAGTCGAGAATAACCGAGAATAATGCCTGATGATGACATGAGCAAGAAAGTATCATTTACCTCCACCTCATTGGCTCATTCCCACTTAACCATATTACCTATCAAAGTTTACCATAAACCTTCCTAGTTAAATTTGTCTATCCATCTTTCCACAAACCTACTTACAGAATGCCTACAAGTAATATGCCCAACTACTTGCAAAACAAGTAGCCTACTCACCTGCTTGCAAAATGCTTAAAAAAAGCTTATCCACCTGCTTGCAAATTGCCTACAAGTTGCCCACCCACCTACTTGCACATGCTGTCACATGCCAACAACATATTTAGTTTTACGCATTTTTTTTTGTTAGGCTCCCACTCGTGTTATTTCACTGGGTATGTTGTTAGGCTCCTTCACATGTTAGTCGGACCCAACTTAAATGAAGTGTGCCATGTTTCGTTTTTATTACGATAGATAGAATTGTGTGCTCGAATAGAGATTTACTATTTTTAGACAAAATAAGATTTTACTACTTTTAGAATGATGGGTCATGTACAATAATATTTTTTATTCTTAGGTTTGTCCATATTAGGCTTCTTACTAAAGGAGGCCAAGCCATAGTTAGTTGATATCTTAATTAAGGATCTTTTATCTTAGAACTTGTACATCTTTTAGCTTTAATAAAATGGTTGTTTGCTAAACACTTCGCTCTTATTCTTCTCTTTGAATCTTCTCTCTTGAATGAATGAAAAGTACGATCTCTTAGTCGGAGCAAGGAAACACTAGGCAGGTGTGCTTGATGTGATTTCAATGGCTCTCTAAGTTTATCAAACTTAGCTTGTTGCAACTACAATAGTTTTCCGATCTTCTTACTTAACAAAGCATGTAAATCTATTAGTAGAGTAGGACTTGTTCCTAAATTTGAGGGCGTATAGGCCAGAGGGTGCAGCCAGAGCCCATGTTTGTCGGGAAAAGTTGTGCTTGATCCAATTTACTGCTTAGACCGACTTTGGCAAACCATCCTTCGGGTTGCGAAGCCGGGTTTGTAGCAAACTGTCCAATAGAGTACGCTAACCCCAGTCGTAAGAAAGCTATTGTAATTCCAATGTTTGATGTCTACCTATCAATGGTCACCAGCAAGACGAAGTGCTAAACCAAATTATCTATAAACTACTTCAAGATAAGTCCAACTCGTGCAGCAAAATTAGAGCAAGTGTTGAACCAAGGTCTAACTTGTTCTCCATCACACCCTTACTTGAGTGATGTAACAGTATTTTAGCACTCATTCAATTTGTCGCCCTCCATTATAGTTGAGAATCATAACCTCTTACCGACAAATTCAGTATTGAAAAAGGACTTCAACACCCTGTCCCCTCCACCCTTTGTTCTATGAAGATGAATCCCTGAGAAGGCCAGGGGAAGCAATTAAAGCTATAGATAAGAGCTGGACAGAAGTAAGAAACTATGTTCCAGTCTCTTACTTGTAAAGAAGCTCAGGCGTCGGCCAAACAAGAGGAAGGCCAAAAAAAGATCACTAAAGAGTTCAGCTTGGTCATAAGGAAACGTTTTGTCTTTACCAAACAGTAAAACCGTCATTAGAAAGAACGGTCAAGTGGGGCCAAGGAGGAGCAACTTAAACTATCATATGGAATATGAGCATTGGTTACCAGATATGGCTTCATCTTCTTTTATCTAAACATTCAACAAAAAAATAATAAAAGTTATCCTAACAAATCAAAATGAGGGAAAAGAACATCCAATGCAACGAATATATGTAAAGCAAAAACAGATTTTACTCAGGCAAATGTATTGCCTGCAGATTCACATATATGCAGAATGTGCTAGTGAAATACAGCATCACAATAAAGAGGAAAAGGGGGTACAAAAGCAGGGGACTTCAAAATTTTACTTGCCCTAAGAGCTGGATTGGCATCAGGATGAAATACAGAGAGAGCACTCATAGCACTAACAAGAACATCCAAATTCAATGAATACATGTAAAGGAAAAAAAAAAAGATTTTGCTCAAGAAAATATATTGCCCCCGATATATGCAGAATGTGTCAGTTAATACAGCATCATCACAGCAAAGAAGGAGAGGCGGGTACAAAAGTTGGGAACTTCAAAATTTCACTTACCCTAAGAGCTGGATTGACATCAGAATGAAATATAGAAAGAGCACTCATAGCACTAACAAGAACATCCAATGCAATGAATACATGTAAAGCAAAAAATAGGTTTTGCTCAAGCAAATATGTTGCTTCCGGATATATGCAGAAGGTGCCGGAGTAATACAGCATCATCACAGCAGAGGGGGAAAGAAGGGTTCAAAAGTTGGGGAATTCAAAATTTTGCTTACCCTAAGAGCTGGATTGGCATCAGGATGAAAGATAGAAAGAGTGCTCATAGCACTAACAAGAACACCCATCGGGTGAGAATCATGAGGCATTGACTGTATGATATCCTGCAACACAAGATTACACTATTATCTCAGCTACTCTACACTCAAAACCATGATTCACATTGAAATGATTATGAAATCGCAAGGAAATACATGAAATGTGGTCTGACCATCTGGAAAAGTATATCTCAGACGCATAATATATATGACGAAGCGTGATCTTAGGACAATTTGGTGGAACTGGGTTTTCCGTTCGACACTCTGGGCTCTCCTTTTATACAAGGGAAGGCACTGAATGCTAACATTGCAGTTCATATATAGCAAAATAATCAAGCTCTCTAGAGCTAAGTTCAGACAGACAAAAGTCTGAAGAAATCTATTTTAGCCACTTGACTCGCCTGGAACAACAATACCTGAGACCAGCAAGCTACCCGATGGGACGAATAAACAAACATGTCTAATACGTACACGCCCTTGGTTTTTCAGAAGCTTCATGCTTCAAGGGGTGACACTTCTAAGATAAGTATAGCAAGAAATGTACAACAAAGAGATTGCAACCCGTCTTCTAAGATAATGAACAGCGTTTGAGAGTGGAACTAAACCAATATCCTAGCACACAAATTAAAGCTTTCTTCGAAGATTAAGATATGATCATACCAAAACTCCTTGAGGGACTGCTGAATGATGTGAAACTGCAAACTCCCAGTCTGATAATTGGTTCTCAGATGGTAAATTACCGTACACTGCATAATTCAAGTAACGCGGTTGATAAAATATAAACCAACTTATGAAGCAAAACTGTGGAGTAACATAAACCAGCTTATGAAGCAGAAACTGGGAGCAACAAACTCTTCTAAAGATAATAACAAGAACAATCACTGAAATTTACAAAAAAAGGAGTTCAAGAAATCTGATTATGCATTAGAAGTGAGCCTTAAGAATCTGATTATGTAAATTTCATTATAAACACTTACTTAAAAGATAAGCCACTTCTAAGAAGGAACTTCGCTCAGCCAACTCTTCAATCGGGTAACCTCGATACCTGAGAACCCCTGCATCACCATCTATGTAACATATTGATGAACGAACGGGTGCAGTGTTGAGATAGCCCGGATCATAGAGCTTGATACCCTTATCATTGTATCCAGTAGTTATCTATATAACAAATTAACAATTATATCAGATGTAACACTCTTCCAATAAAACATAAGGATGATGGAGGAAACACATGATCCTCGTATAACAAGAAATTTTTTCACAGAATAACTGAACAACCCCACACATTGGTATTTGGTAGCCCTTAAAACTGCAACCATACATATACATGTCGTAAAAACCAAGTAGAATAGCTGTATATCAAAACTCCTTAAAGAAACTCGAATTCTTTCAAGGACTAGAGCGAACAACAGCTTGTTTGGATAGTTGTTATTTAGGTACACTGTATCGTTCAGCGGTCTGAAGAATAAGCTCACGATATTATTTTTAAAAAAGTATTGTACTGGGCAGAGCTTACAATATTAAGATAACACGCAACCACACCAAATCGATGTTACAATTTGCAGATATGATCCTGTCAAAATAGTAGAGTACGGAATACAACTGATATATAAAAAAGTTGTGCAATGGGACTTTCAATCATATTTAAACCAACTACACAACGCAACAAGCAGTAAAATTCGAAAAAATAGAAGCTTACTTTCTTAAAGTCGGTGGCTTTAACAGTGCCTTCCTCGGTAACCGGAACCTGATACTTCTTACCGGTCCTCTCATCGATGATTGTCAAGGTGCCTTTTAAATTCGGTGGCGGCGACACGGCAGCGGTCGATGCAGATACAGAGGAAGTTTCCAGAACAGGGGAGGAGGAGGAGTAATCGGCGGCGAGATGAGCTGTGATTACCGATAACCGACTTCGAGCAACAGCTGAAGAATTCCCGCACTCCATTATTGTTACTACTAAATAAATTCTTATCGGTTCGGTTCAGTTATTTGTATTCTCAAATGCATATTGTGTCTCGTTTATATATGAACAAAATTTGTAAATCTTCTCATGAGGACTTTCATATTCTAAACACGTGTAGTGCTTGGTTTAGCTCCAACTAGCTATATATATCCATTACTTGGCGTTTTAATATTTTGGCAGAGCAACTCGGTGTAATTTGGCGCAAGTGCACAGATAGTCATTTTGAAAGTAGTGTCTGAAGTTACAAATTTTATTCAAAGATGGATAAGGATTGCACCATGCATGAATTCACATGTATTTATGTATGGTATCCACAAAAGGAGTATTAAAATACATAAAAAAAAATAGGTTCGAAATGGTACATTTTTAAGTTTAAAACTTCTGATGTGGATGTTCATATTCTAAGCACGTGTAGTTAGAATATGAGAACATATGAGAATTGCATTCATCATCCAACAAAACTGAAAAAGGGATTACATACAATTACAGCATGGGTTAAGAGATAACAGCAAAATAAAATTGACAGCTTTATTGTAACTTAATCTAGAGTTTCATCCTTCTTGGCTGATTTTGTTCCGAAAGCGATGAAATTAACACTGATGTCATCAGACAAGGACCAGCGACCCGTCAAAGGGTTGTATACAAATCCAGCCATCTCTTGCACCTGTAAAGTGCAGAAAGATTACCATTTCAAATGGGCACAAACAGATAGATATTGACTTGATTATGATATAGCTGAAAAACAGAGATGCATGTAAATCCACTTGCCGATATAGAAGCGCGCTGAAGAATGAGTACTAGTTCTTCTGGGGTTAGAAAGCTTGACCATTGATGTGTACCTTTTGGAAGCTGTAAAATCCAGTTATAACGTTAGAACATGTTTAGATAATCCCGGCAATTTGCACATTGTACAACCATTAGCTTCTTCTCGACTCTCCAAAAAGAAATCCAAGAAACAGAGAGACACAAACAGACATAGGAAGCATGGCTGACAAGTACACACTATAATCAGCAGAAAATTGTCGTTTAACATGGCCACTGTCATGCACAGATAATGCTAGTAAATACTCTCTCCGTCCCATTTTATGTGACATTTTTCAGATTTCGAGATTCAAACAAGTCTAACTTTGACCGTAAATCTTTCATAGATCTTTTAAATATTTTGAATTATCAATTGTTGTGACTTATAGTACTTTTTACGTAGTTTACAAATATATAAATTTCATTTCAAAAAAATTGAAGATTTCATGCGCAAATTTTTGGTCAAACTTAAACTGTTTGACTCTCGAAAAACGAAAAGTGCCACATAAATTGGGACAGAGGGAGTATCAGCGAGATGAATCCTAGCCAATAGAGCAAAATCAGTCCCCAAACTTAATTGGAACATTTTGAAGCATAATCGACATAACATGCTTAACAGAATTGTTGCCATTTACACATGATAAATCAAGAACATTAAAATGCTCCACATAAATTGGAAATTCAATTTGAGGCAAGAGAATAATAATACTTAGAACTATCTAGAAACACCTTCCATACACCTTCCTCTATATATTCAAAGTGAACTAGCAAATCTCACATGCACAAATATCATCTAACATATACATGGGAAGTTTTGCAAGAAAATCAATTCACAAGAGTTGATATCAACCAAAAATTACCAATAGAATTTAGAGGATCTACTAAATATATTTACCCAATGTAGGAGATACTCTGCTGCAACAATTGCCGTTGCATATGCTCTCATTGAACGATTAATCGTTGATATCACGGTAGCACCACCAGGAATGGTCAACGCTGATAATGATTTGCAGAATCCAGCAGGATCTGCTACATGCTCAATCACCTACAAAACAGGCAGAATTAGATACACATACTAGAAGAGATCAGATCGGAAGCTGGGTCTTCTAAAGAGGGGAGATTAGAATAGTTTGATATTGCCCCAGTTGTTACATTTTCACTTCACCAGTCAGAATTCTTTAGATACACATACTAGAAGAGATCTGTCCCTGTGTAACAGACCCGTGAGAGCTCTAAAAGCCTCCAATTATTAGACTTTTTTAAAAGATGGTCAGGTAAGCTTGCGCGGACCTCGACTATTCTAACGGGTACCTGCTACCTTTTACAAAGGGACCTTGATTATTCCAACAAGTACCTGCTACCTTTCACCAACACATGAACAACAGGTAACTCTGCCCACAAAGGCTTCAGCAAATAGAAAGAGATCACCTAGCATTATTGTCTTCGTTAGGATTTGACTCCTACTCTCCAAGGTTTTCACCCACTCCATTGACCTCTAGGCCACACCCTTGGGTGCCTGTTATTAGACTTGAGCAAGGCTATAAAAGCATAGAACTGTTTAAAGGACCAAGCCTTTTACACAATGTACTATGTTAACTTCAAATAAATAGTGAAAGTTTGCAAAGCAAAAGGTACAAATGATGGAAGTACAATTTACTAAAACAGTTAGATTGTACTGCAGATAATAACTCGTAGAACAAAGTTAGCCTATTACTTATTAAGTCATACCTCTAGCGCAATCACAGCATCGAATTGTCTCTGTTCTTCAACCAGGCTTTCTGTCGACATAACATCAAATAGGGTCATTCTTTGAAGAATAATCTTTGAGATTCAACTAAAAATGGGGTTTTAAATAAAACAAGCTGAGTCTTTTTTCTTCAATATCAACAGATGTGTCAATAGCTAAAATTGTTATACACCATAGCTGAAGTACATAGCAACATAACAAGCATCAAATCATTAATAATTCTGTGTCCTTGTGACATAGAGTAATCTCCATAAAACTACAACACTTGAGCTTGATTCATGATTTCATTTAACATTTTAAGTAGCTGGTCTGTAACTTAATTAGGCACAAGTTGTCTTGGAAAATTCAAGGCTTTTTTCTACTATAAAATGAGATGGATATGCTTTTTTTACTGGAAAGCAGACATAACTACAAAGAAAAGAGCCTTAAAAATTTAAAGCACAGACACAGAGGCAATTAAGTTCACCACAAAAAAAATCAAAGCACACATCTTTTCTTTCACCAGGAATCTCACACACTGATATTTTTGCAAGTCCAAATACAGTGCCAATCATTGAACACATGATAATTCAGCCAAGTTTTCACAGCAAGAAAATAACCAACCACGCAGTTGAGTGAAAACGGAGAAATTAGGGGTTATAACAACTACAAAGCTGAATTATCATGAAGCTGCAAATAATTAGTATGCAATCACGACCAATTACCCACCTTCCATACTCTCCATAAAGAAGGAGGAGGTTAACCAGTGATGATAATTGACTATGAACTACCCTAGGAGTCTCTGTTATGGTTCATGCAGCTAAACGGCACTAATTTCACACTATTGCAGCTTAAATTGGAACTACAACAAAAAAATTGCAAATGGAGATTGCAATAACATACAACAATTTGGTCATCCTTTACTTCAACTATTTAGGAAAGAAAGTGAGGCTTTGCTAAGATGCCAAAAATTCATTTCCAATTGATAAGTTGAGCATGATTAAACCAGTGCTTGATCATTAACATGATTCATAACAAAAACCGATGTTATGCAGACTCGTTTTCCTATTCTTTACTAAAGAAGGCACCAACATGATAAAAAAGAATAGATAATGTCCGTTCATTGTATATCGTGATAATAGAATAACAAGCACATAGAAGTCATCAATATTTGGACTTAATTATCATCAAACAAGTATGGCATGTACCAGCTGTTGTGCACCGATATTCAATTGAAGAAGTCTGTGGATCCAAATCCTGAAAGAAATATCAGCATTCAGAAGCATCCACTATATAGCATGTATACGGGTTTTACTGTCACAATTCAAAAACTATATGTTTAAGATAGCACTATAGCTTAACAAACAGCAAACCTATTGCTGAGATATGTGCTAATCTTACCATTGTATATAATGGAAGTAAATTAGTTCTAAGAAATTGCTTCAACTATTTCATCAACAACATTATTTTAGAGAATATGTTCTAATTTTTAGTTTCTAGAACTTCGGTTGTTGCATATAGACCCGCAGTAGTCATTGAAAATTTTGACACGGGCTCAAGAGTTTTGCTTTGGCCGTTGGAAGGACAAGCACATATTATATATATGAGGATATGCGAATATCTTTTTGAATAAAAAAAATACGCAAGTCAATCATATTGGTTTAATACATATATCAAGAGTTAATATCCTACACATATTATATTGAATACCAAGACGACATAGCCACATGGACTAAAATTTGGTATTTTTGCACCTTAAATGCAATCTTTTGAACATGATCTAACTTTTACATCCTTTTGGTATTAGCATATCAACCTTGGGAACGCCTTGGTGCAAATTTTGTCGGTGAAGCTCCAGAACATCACAGCATACATGAGTGCAGGGAAACAAGAATTTAAAGGAATTATCTGGCTTGTTCCCAGTTTATGCAAAAAGGAAAACACCTACAGTGGAAGAAGCAAAAAGAGCTGTGCCGTTTTCTTTAAAATATAATAGGATCTATACATAACGTCTAGTTCTAACTTTAATAAATAGGTAACTTGCCAACCCATGGACCTTCTAATGTGTAGTAATGTACTTTATCTGCTGGTGAAACTTACAACAGTATTTCTATCCTCAAAGCACAAGACACTGGTCCTAATTAACCCCAATCTATTGATTCATCTTCACCCAATAATGCCTAAGCTTTAACCATTTCTTTAATTTTCAGATTGCCTAGAAGGATCAAAAGAAAGATCTTGTTTCTTCAACAGTTTTTTTATCTCTAGTGGACCTCTAAGTAGGATTTGAACCAAGATGAATAAACATCGTATGAAATTTTCTTGCACTTGTTGTCAGTATTGAGTACCTCTAATTTGGCAAAGAACATTCAAGTGATCAGCTCAAAACTCTTCTAAATTTTAAACCTATCTTCCATCCCAAGCATTGTGACCTTCAAATGAACTATAATTTGACGGAGCGAAATAGTAATTGTCCCTCAAGGTAAGGAAACAATAAACTCAGAATCATTATAAGACTTGTAAATTTTGATGCCAATACTCATGATATCTCAGGTATGGGAAGAACCTTAAACTGTACATTCATCAGACAAGCAAAAAAATGGCAGTTTAATGGTGCATCATGGAAACATTTAAGTAAAACATACCGCATGAAGGCGAGCAATCTTAATATTTTTGTCTACAGCATCAACTCCCGTGACCGTAGCTCCCATTCGAGCCAAAGGCTGAATTAAGAGTAAAAATGAGTTGTGTGTGTATATTTTGCAGCATGCTTAATATAAACATTCACTTCATTGAGTGACAGAGCCATTGTCTAAGTCTCAACTAAGCTAACAATAGTACTTATAAAAATACTAGGCTAATAATGGTAATCACAGGAGAAAAATAATCTGCATATGCAAAGGACAAAGGTAAAAGTGAACTCCAATAGAGTATTAAGCTTGATAAATGTATACCTCAGATAAAATTCCGCCTCCACAACCAACATCAACAAACTTCAGTCCTTCAAAAGGTCTAGTGCAATTTGGATCCTTTCTGATACAATGAAAAAGTTTTAGCCTCCAAAGATACAAGAAGAGTGAAAAAAAAAGGCGGAGCTATTAGGGCAATTTGGATCCTTTCTCAGCTATACTCTCCTTTTGCTTATCCATTACCTTCTCTATCCAATAGTGCTATTTCTAAGCTCCTATTAGTATTACATTTCCTTTCCCCTTTTTTCCCCATACGGTACTACTAATTCCTTTCCTTACAACCCCTTCTAATCTCAGACCAGCAAAGACCATAAGAATATCCATTGAAATCATGAAATCCCTCCATTCACATAAGAGCAAAGATAATTATAGTTTGCGAAAAGAAGAATATGAACAACAAATCTAGCTAAATCCTTCTCTAACACAAGCTACATATTCCCTCCAACTTCAACATTATTATACACGTATCAAGTATTGGTCCTAAAAATATAGAACACCAACAAGTACTAATGGAAATATGAGAAAACTCTTTGTATGCAATCTAATCTTTTCAGACATTATATCCTCAGTATTCTTCAACTGGTGAGAACTACCTGAAATGCCGACAAAGAGTAGACCTAATAAAAGCAAGTCTTGTAGGGTTCATTAGATGTAATGGCTTAAAGGGTCCTTCTGCATCCCACCTGATTTAACACAGGCGCACAATTGAATTCAGTATATCAAAGTAGAAAGCAAATCGAATGAAAAAGATTCAAAATTGCAATTCCAAACTCCCCCTCTGTCATTATTTATGGGACATTTTTCCTTACAGACTCAATATGACTAATTTCAAAGCTAAATTGGATTCGGTCACTCAATGTTTTAAAATTAACTTTAGATATTCAAAAATTACACTAGTTCATCTCATGTCAATACAATGAAAAAACTACATTTATATATATATATATATATATATCTATTGGTAGCTACGCCTCAATTTCAAACTAGTTCAGGTCGATTATATGAATCCTCAATATCCATTTCAACTCCATTTGAGCCCATTCATTCCAATACAAAAAAAAATTGCGGAATCTTTGAAATTTAAATACCAGGTTTCGGCAATGATGGAGAATTTGGCAAGTTCGAATTCATTGAGAGAACTTGAAGTAGTAGTAGAAGTATTAGGGGATGGAGGTGGTGGAGGAGGATTTATCGGAGTTGGCTGAGAAGCTTCGGAATAAGATCGCCATGTTACATGATTTTGTGAGGTGGAGAAAATGGAAATCGGTTCTCTGAGTTTATCAAAACGGACGTCACTGAGTTCAGAGACTCTTGAGAGAGATCTCAGTCGGTTCAGAACGAGCTTCGAAGCCATGCCTGAAGAACTCTTAAGAAAATGGTGAAACGTGGAAGCTTTAAGAGACAACAGTTTTGTGCTTTAACTGCTTATGAAAGTTATGTGTTGCACTGTTAGATGGGCACGTCATAGAATTGGGCCTGGGTTGGGTCATTGGCCCAAGCGGATGTTTTAAGGAGGAAAAATTACTTAAATATACACAATTTATCGTACATACTCTCAAAAATTCTCTATCATTTGAAAAAGTTACAAAAACCTCTACTCTCTCATATTCTCGGATATATTACTTTACATGAATGTATCGGTTGAATACATTATTTTACGTGATGTATCAGGACATATGTAATGTATCGGGATGTTGAGTGATATACATGAAATCGAGAGGCGATGTATAGGGGCATTGAGGGATGTATTCAAAATCGGAACACGATGTATCGAGACGTTTTGGATGTATCCAGATTCTACCAAATTTAAGAGATTTTTGTAATTTAGAAAAGAGTAGCAATAAGATAGGAATTTATGCAAAATTCTCCAAGTACTCCATAGTTGAGTTCGAATGTAATGTTGCGTGTTAAATTTGCAAGAAATTTCACCACTTCTCTCAATTTCTTATGTAGTATTTTGATTTGGTGTATTAAAAATAATATACATTGCATAATTTCCAAAAGAAACTATTTGTTTACAAAATTAATCTCTTGCATTGCATATACCATGACTTTTCATGTATTAGTCACACTTTATTTAGTGTTATAGTATGTATAATTAATGCATAAAAATTAACGGTATTAATAATGCAAAAGTTTTTAATGTATGCATTAGCATGATTAAGATAGTTTTCCTCGAAACATTTTTCAATGTAAGCATAACTAATACATCATATTTGACACTATTCTTATACACCCATCAATCGACCCATTAAGTTTCACGTTTTTGGAACACTTGCTTCACCAAAAGATTAAATGGCACAAACTTTACAAATTGATAGGATTTGCATCCACTCATTACAAACGAAAGCAAATTAGTAGGAATTACCAGTAATCTGGCCACAGGCACAGAGACATATGACAATCCAATTGTAAAATAGACAACGTAACAGTATCACTTAGCTGATGGTGGAAAAAAAATATATAGACTATTTTAACTAAGAAAATAGAAAAAAGAAAAAAACCAAAATTCGACGTATCAAAGCTTCCCAATTTGGAAATTATCTAAGAGAAATGAGAAGTGTGACAATCTTACAAAGAGGAACACAAACAATACAGAGGACAATCCACCACACGACATTGTTATTGTAGACAAGTGTTTACACCTTAATCAAAACAAAGGAGGTGAGGATCCTCACAAGCTGCGGGCAAGTCAGGAAGTTGTCCAATTAATGACACTGCAGCTAATTGGCTGTGTAAGTACTAGCTCTTCTGCCTCCTGATGTGTATGCTCTTGGTCAGTGTGACAAAAGGTCGAATCGATTGTAATACTGAACGTTAGGTTTCAGAGTTTTAAGAAAACATCCGAAGGAAGTTGTTGGCATATGCCATTGGCTTGACATCGGGATGTGGCTGCATACAAGGCAAAGCAATGAAGATGAAAAGAGTTAATCCACCGCGTTAAAGGAGATGAGACTAAAAGTGTTGATATGAAGGAAGAAAAGGACATTTCAAGATAAAAGCCACTAACCACTGCTGAAAATGTCACAATATTTGGCTTCATATCGGGAGCCTCAAACCGTATAAAAGCACCCTTGTTACCCATCTGCAACATGCAAAGTGCATTTGAGGATATTGAATAAATCATTTCTATTCACATCAAAGAAACTTCATATAGGATATGACACTACGTGTATTAGTTATACAAAGAAATTATTACAAGATCCTTCTCTACTATAGGAATACAAATGTATAGATAACACAGTTCCAGTAACTAAAAATTGACCTGTCAGATTTAATAACCACGTAAATTGTCACAGAAAAGTAGCAGATATTATGAATATATCTGTACATATTGCAATCAGTTTATGTACTAAAAATATATTAGACGCTAAGCATAAAACATGCAATGGAACTGGACACCATGCCATCAATGCAAATATGTCCCCAATGCCATCTAACGAAGTTGTTGATAAAGCCAACATCTAATAGATTCCAAACCTACCTTGAAGCAAAACGTCATTGTTTCCCATCATTTTAAAATCCTAAATGAAGTAATGAATTACTAGCTGTTTCAAATGCTAAGGCACTATCTCTTTGGACTTTCTTCAGGCATAACTTCAATGCTAAACTTGACCGACAAACAGTGTTATTAAAAGCAGAAAAGCTCTCAGATCCGTTGGGACTTTAAGCGCAAATTAAGCATGAACTTTAATGAAAAAAGGCACAAAGGGAGAAAAAATAAATATATATATATATATATATATTGTCCAAGACTAGTAGTTATAGCATGAATGACAAATATATGAACAAAAAAATTGTGAAATTGTTTAGTTCTCCCCTTTAGAAGAGGCTCATTGGCAAGGAAAAGTATGTCTTAGAACCTTGATGACGACACTGAGGCGAGGCGAATCGCTCAACACGTATTGAGCCTCGCTTCAGCGCACCTTTAACAACACTGGCAACAAATCACAGATATACAAGATATACACACACCAGAAACCCCGCAGTGATTTTGATGAAGTGTAACATTTCAACCTAAAGGAAACTTTTGAGGTGAGGGTGTTGTTTGTACTTACAATTTGTGATTTTAATTGGACAAAGTAGCATGAGCTCAAATAAACTCTTGAGAGGGGAATACAAAGAGACAAATTACCTGGTCACAGTAATTTGGAGCGGAAAACACTGTTATGAGTTTGCCATCATGTTCAATCTCATAACCTTCATCCTTCACTTCATGAGATCGGACCACTAAATCTGCAAGCATCCACACATGTTAACATCAAATATATGTGCTAAAATCCATCAAGTGAACAGAAATAGACAGTGAAATGTCAATTCTCTATATGGTCAAACAACAGAATAGGGGAGAAAGGAAAAGATTAGTACCTAGATTATTTTCCTGCAAGAATCTTTTAGTTACGTCTCCCCCGAAAGAAAGACCAACACCTCGTTTACTAGGTCCTCTACCAGGCTGAGGTTGTGGATCACTCCACAACAATTCACACATTAACCCTGAAAAAGATCAAATGAAGCCCCAATTATAACCTAAGGTCCTAAACAACTTGGTCATGTTTACTATGTATGACCAAGGTTAAAAAAATAAGCAACATATGTTTAACAAGTCAGCAAACTGATGATTACTTATCAAAGAAGTCAATAAATTAATATTAACTAAAACAGATGAAGCAGAACTGCCGAAAGCTCCATTTTAATTGGCCCACAAAAGCATCGATAAAGACCAGAATAGTTGCCTTTATTTCAAAATAATAGTCGTGTCTGGACTCAAAAGTATTTATTAGCATATACCAAGAAAGTGGCTTGCAGCTTGCAGGAACAATGTGTCAAATGATGATAACTACCAAGCAAATGAGAATGGGTAGTTTTGATACACAAACTTAGTAGCATGAATAGTTTTTCCGAGCTTTTTTTGAAAAGTTTGTCAGATGATTAATGGAGCATTAAGGAGATTAGAGCAGAGTAATTAGTAAATGTGCTAAACAATAGCATATTGAAAGAACATTATACATGTATACTTCTCTACTTGCATCAGAACTTACCCTCCTCCGGGGGCTCACAAAACCGATCAATTGCTCTAATATCAGAGAGCCTCACGCCATCAACACTAAAAAGACCTCCATGTACTACAAAGACTTTCTCATTTATGACATGGGCCAAAGGTAAGCAACAGAACACTTCTGCAAAGAGTTCCACAAATATTTCACTTAACTTGGATCTGACCTCGCCCTCAAACCCATATATTTTGTTCATGCTCTTGCTTTCGTGATTTCCTCTCGCAAGGTGTATAGCTGAAAAATTGAAGTTGTTAGCAAGATACAATTGACCCATCTGAACAACATTTACACACCGACTGAATGATTAGAATAAAAAAAAAACATGTTACTTCTTAGGTCGTGCTAGTATAGAAATGGTGACAAAAATCAAATCTTTGAAATCAAAATCTTAGCTTTGATTAGAGCTTGATGTATTGCAATATCAGAACCTCAAATAAAAGCATTAACATAGCACTTAGATCTAAATGGGACCCAAAAGGGACATTCACTGTTAGGTCTAATTGATGTACAAATAAAAAAGAATAGAAATAGAAAATGAGTAAAAGTTAAAAAGAAAAATGACTCAAACAGCTTACATCTAAAAGGGACCCCAAAAGGGACACTCATTTTCTTGTTAGGTCTAATTGATGTACAAATAAAAAAGAGATAGAAAAGAAAATGAGTAAAGGAAAATGAAAATTGACTCAAACAGCTCACATCTAAAAGGGACCCAAAACGAACATTCACTTACTTGTTAAGTATAATTGATGTACGAATAAAAAAAAGAGATAGAAATAGAAAAAGAGTAAAGGCAAATGAAAAATGACTCAAACAGATCACTAAGGTAAAAAATAGGGGACTGGAAAACTTGCATCCAGAAAACCTTCAAGTTCCACCCACTCAATACTAGATAGGAGTAATAATATAATAGAACACAAGCTTACAACATTGAAGATGAATAAGAGCAGGCAATCTACCTGATGGACACATGCACTTGAAGGCGAATAATGTCAATATGACCTCTAGAGAGAATGACCCTCTATCAACAAAATCACCATTGAACAGATATGGATTGTCTTCTGATGGAAGCCCATTGAGCTCGAAAATATTTAGGAGGTCATAAAACTGTAGCAACATTAGAAAATGACGAAAGTTCAGCCAGTAGAGACTTTTTGCTGGCAACAAGAAGTCATTCAGCCAAGCACAGAAATAGAACACCCAGCAAATTGTATTATCACTAATTCACTATATATTAACAGCAGGAAAGAATAAAGGACTAAATGATATATCTTGCAGCACATATCTAAAGGCAAACAAGTGTTCTTTAGG